CACACACACACACACACACACACACACACACATGCACAGACGCACACGTGGGGGGATGTGGGCAGGTCGCACTCGACCACAATCAACGTAGCGAGCCTGGTACATGAGAGGCACAGTAAGAGGGGAGTTCCAAGAACAAATGAAAAGGGGTGGCCCAAAGAAAGTCAAAGTGAACACAGTTAAGAAAGGGATTGAAACACTTCTATATCTCTATGTTGCTATAGAAGTAAATTGTTTGATTGTTGGATTTTCTCAACCCAAGTGATCTCCTTGTCTGCAATAGGAATAAAGCTGCTTCGATTTATGATCTACTTATCGGGGTGGAACAGGTGTTGTTGTGGTGAATTCAAAACACACACGTGAAGTTGGTGGATGAACTTGGATTGGCGCATTTATGCTCTTGGCACACCGAACAAGGGCTTGATTGTACTTATTAAGCCTCGCACCACTACTCTCGAAATGTGCAAAACGAGAATGAATCTTCCGCTAGAATATTGAAGAGGGATACATCGGCATGATTTTTGTCATTTGTGCATGTAGAGAGTAGTGGAGCGAGGCCTATTGCGATCATTGTTTCTGCACTGAATCTCGCAGTGTCGGTTATTGCTGTCTTTGTCACTTTGTACCGGTTGATGTGTGTTCTGACTGTCTACTATTTGTATTTGTATTTGTGGAATATAACCCATTTGAATGAACTTCTCATATTTACATAATTTACATTTCAGTCAAGTCTTTTCTTGATTATCCTCCCTCTTTCAAAAGCCAAAAAATACCTATGCGGGAGTGTGTTGAGTTTTGAATTCACAGGAAGAACATGGCACTGCAGGTCCACGCCGAGGGAAGTTAGAAACTTCAAACAAAAAAACCCAGCTTTGTGCACTTCTACCCGGATGGAAGTTCGAAAGTGGCAAAATCAGGCGGCCACTCGGTTGTTGCGTTTTTTTTTTTTTCCCTTCTTTTTTCCCTCGCCCATGGCTGGGCCACGGCTGAGATGTTCAGGCCAAGCCTGTGGTGGTCGGGGCACGGCCGAGATGTCCAGGCCATGCCCATGGCTGGGCCGCGGCCAAGGTGTCTAGGCCACGCCCGTGGCGGGGCCATGGCCGAGATGTCCAGGCGGTGCCCGTGGCTCGGCCATGGCAAAAAGTGAACTCCCCGGGTCGTTTTCCAACCCGCCTCCGTGATTGCAAAGAGGGGGGGAGGTTGGTACCGGTACCTGCGTTGGCTGCAGCCCTCGGGAAAATGGCCTGTTGCGGTACCGGTGCCTGCCATTTATGCCAATTGTTGAACTGGCATGCC